AGGGTCTTCACACTTCAGTAGACTCCCCACAAGGTTCTTAATCAGCTCTGATTCCACTTGTTAGAGACTAAGGACGAGGTATACGAAGATTAGGAGCCGAAATATCTCAATATCGTTGGGCCTAGTTTCTGGACAGAAATGTCGAGTACAAGAAACGCCGTCGACAACACTTGCACCGTCAAAACTTCACCAAACTCAGATATGTTGTAGCCCTAGTGTGTGGCTACAATTCCCAATTTTAATCGTATGATAAAATGGAGTATTTCTTGAGTTATGAATTTCGGCGCACTAGGGGGTAAGCTGCCATCGAATCTTAAATTAATCACAATTGTCTCACAATTTCACGATTATTACACAAGAGAGTAAGAATAGCAATAAACCAGGTGGGATGGAATGAGGAGGACGAGAGGGAAGGTCCCAAGAGAGTCCCCAACCAAGGAAACCCCATGCCACACAATTCCCCTCTCCATAGGCAGCCCCACTTTCACTTTTGTCACTTTCCCAACCCATGCCATCCACCTTGCCCAACTTGGCCACACTTGCCAACCTGGTTTGGTTTCTCCCAACCACTTGGCAGCATCTACAGTGATGTTGACGAATTTCTCAACCCCCAAAAGTCTATACCCCTTATGGAGTCAACCCCACAACTTCCCATAGTCACCACAACCAAATATCAAAAGCATACGGACTTCTAACGTTCGTAACTTTCTTGTTCGTGCTCCGATTGAAGCGATACTTGGTTTGTCGGAAAGCTCTTGAGCAGAGGAGTCATTTCAGATATCTGCTCAAGCCAAATAACATTCACAAACACACACACACACTCAGAAAAGCCAAACCACATCAAACACAAATTCTTGCACACGCTCACACCACGCATGCAACACACGAACATGTGATGGGAGGCAGACAGACGTGAATGCAAGTGATAGCATCACATAACAGTAATAGCACATGCCTGTCCTTGCACAATTCTCCTTGCTCACATGTTTGCAACATCGTATCTCCTTAGCAAACGCGGCGAAAGATACGAAACCCGTATGGCATGCTTAGAAGATAGTAAATGCTTGAATGATAGAAAGAAACCTTGTTTAAAATAGCAAATGGTTGTTGATTTGGCACCACGCAATAGCACAAGCCTATCATTGCACAGTTACCCTTGCTCACATGTTTGTAACATCATACCTCCCTACCAAATGCCGCGAATGACACGAAACTTGTGTGGCACGCTTAGAAGATAGTAAATGCTTGAATGATAGAAAGAAAACTTGTTTAAAATAGCAAACGGTTATAGATTTGGCACCACACAATAGCACAGGCCTATCATTGCACAGTTCTCCATGCTCACTTGTTTGCAACATCATATCTCCCTACCAAATGCGGAGAGTCACCCTACAACGGGAGTGGACTACGAAGGAGAGCACGGAGTTGTGTGGGTGATCGTAGCGCTCTAGTAGCGTTCTATCAGAGTTCTTACTACTTGCTGTGACCACTAAGAAATTTGGCAAGAGTTTCCGCTGAGGAAATTGAAAGAACATTGAAAATTGAGATTTAGAGTACAAAGAAGAGCATGCAAGTGATATCACTGGAATGGCATTGCAATCCCTAGCAAGCATTCTGCAAGGCGAATTGCCAGCATTGCATCAGAGTAGTTTGCCAACGCTGAAACAGGGCGGCCTGCCAGCGTAGCAGAAGGGCGACATGCCAGCGCTGCAACAGGGTGGCCTGCCAGCGCTGCATTCGCACGTGAATATCTGCGCAGGTGTGCACCTGCCGAGTAGGTGCACGTAGACGGTTGCATCGTCAGAGACATTGCGCAGGTGCCAGGTAGAAAACGCTCCGACGGTTTAGTCAGGTGTCCACCGTCGAACATGTGATGCCATTTCGCAGGTCGAATTTCGCTAAGAGCCACCTGAGCGAATTTTGCATGCCCTTGCAGAGTTTCGCAGCCGCGCGAATTCGGCCAGCCAGTCAGCCGAGATGAGACTCGCCGAACAGCGCCCTTCGATCAAAGAACGGGGCTCCTTGAATAGCACCCCGTCCGTCAGAGATCGCGCAACCCAGAAGCAGATCAGAAGACGAGCTCGTCGAACAGCACCCCGTCGACCAGAGCTTGTTGATGGGCTGGTGAATCAGAGGACAACCTCCTCGAAAACCATAGGCTGGTTCAGAGGACGGGCTGATCCAACGCGATGATCACTTCGTCGAGTTCACCACGTCGTTGCAGAGAATGCCTGTGCCCAAGCGAGGGCGGGGCCTTTCACTCCGACAATGTCACGAATGACACAAAACCTGTCTGACACGCTTAGAAGATAGTACACACATGTGTAGAATGGCTTCACGCAGGTGTACAACGTCGACTGCGACGAGATCATGGCCTCAATTATCAGGATAATATATCCTCATTCTCCTGAATTCAGGATAGGTGTCGTGTGCTAGTCCTGGAAAACAGCATAACAGGATTAATTGTCGTGTAATTTCAGTATAACGGTTATTTTGCGCACTGGAAACTCACGATAAGGCTGTAGGTTCAGCCCTGATGAGTCAAGATAGTGTCGAATCTCGCTTTGAAGCGAGATGTACTATACGAAAAATCTAGTGGGTTTCGGGGCCTAAAATATTCACGGGCGAGCACCTCAAACATAGGAGCCAGCAGGAATCGAGCCGGAGACCTATTGCAAAATGCATTGTCGTTTTACCCGCTACCACACTTCACCTAATTACGAAATGTTGCACTGAGTCTACAGGATACAAACAAACGTAGCACTGGCATTTCAGGATACCTCGCCCTGTGCAGCCCTGACAATTCAGGGCAAATTCTGATTTCCTAAAAACTGCCCTGAGGCCTCAGTGTACCCCCAAACGAATCTGAGGCCCTGGACGAGATGTACGCGCAGGTCCGGAGCTACGTCCCGTTGAGGATCCTCCTCAGCATCGTCACCGCTCGACGTGGTGCTGACCTGCGTCGGCTGCCACAAGATCCAGGTCGATGACTACAACACTAGCTATCTGCCTTTCTGCAGCGTTGGCAAGCCGCGGAAATGCAGCGCTGCTAGCTCGTCGACTAGCAGAGTTGGCAAGTCGCCTCCTTGCTACATTGGTAGATTGTCGACCAGGGCGACCTGCCTGGTCGCTAAGCTACAAAGTCCCAGATGTATTCATATTTTGCTAGTGAAACTCTTGACAAATCGCTTTGTGAACACGGAAGTAGTGAGAGTCACGATCATCCAAACCACCTGTGCCTTCACTTGTAGTTCAGCTCCCACCGTTGTAGAGTGACCATCCGCATGAACTACAGCTGCTGCTACAACCTTCGCTGTTGACTCAAGTCTCTCTCTCTCCCTCCCTCCCTCCCTCTTTCTCTCTCTCTCCCTCCCTCCCTCTCTCTCCCTCTCTCCCTCTCCCTCTCTCTCTCTCCCTCTCTCTCTCTCCCTCTCTCTCTCTCTCTCTGTCTCTCGCTCTCTTTACACACTCAGACCCTTGGATAGGGGCTGGCCTTGGTCTGGCACCCAAGGATCCTCCGAGGTGATCCCGAAGAGAGAGCTTTACCAGCAGATTAGGTGTTTGTAGCCAGATTAGTATGTATCAGTCGTAGCAAAGAAAGTATGGAGGATATTATGAGCAATGAGGTAGCAAAGAACGCGAGACTAAGCTAGTCATGTATTTTAGAGCTAACACAAAGATGCATCACGTTTCGTCAACGCGTACTGTTGGAAACTCAATGATTCATGCCCACAAAGAAAAAAAAAATATTCAATATGCAACTTTTGAAAAGAATACATGTATAGAAATCATAAGTGTATCCAGTCTTCCCATGGTCACTATGACAAAATATTATAGACATATAACAAATTGAGTTATACCAATAAATCGGATGCCTAAGGGATTAAAATCATTAGATATATGCTGTAAAATCTTTGCACGTTTAAAGTCCATATACATTTTGCTTCTATTTCATAAACAATTTTTTACAAAAATTGTTGCTCATTTATCTGGAATGATAAGAATGAACATTGTTATCAGCCAGCCGAAGCAAAATCCATCGATGTTGGCCATATGTTATTGCTGAAATTAAGTTGAAGATTATGAAAACGCACCTATTTGTAACCATTCGTGATACTTGTTAGCGCTAAAATTTGATGTTTAGACGAAAGAGGGTAGTACTAGGGATGTTACACTGTTCCGAGTGCGGTGTACATTCATCATTACAGCGCATTTCTATTGTGCGTCTTTTCACTTTTCTGCGTAAATAGTACGAACACGTCATTGTGCGAGTGTTATGTAATTGGTGTATATTTATTTCACGGACCTTGTTGGCGATAAGTTCTGTTGTGATTGATCGTTTGTCGCCAACACGCTGGGTTCAGCGAAAGCTGGTTCGCTGTTGTGCGCCTTGCGCAGTTGCGCTGGATTTCTCAACACCAGCGCAGCTGCTCAATTGCCAGATTCAACAATTGCGCCTTGCACAGTCGCGCTGGACTCCGCAACTCCAGCGCAAATCTTGAATTGGGTGGCTGACGCAGCAGTTGCACTTTGCGCAGTTGCGCTCTGTTTGGCAACTGCATCACAACTGCCAACTGCGCAACTGCTGCCAGCAGCGCAACTGCTGCCAGCAGCGCGACTGCTGCTGGCAGCGCAAGTGCTGCCAGCAGCGCGACTGCTGATGGCAGCGCAAGTGCTGCCAGCAGCGCAATTGTTGCATCAGCCACTGCGCAACTACTGGAACTGCCTCAGCGCACTTGGTCGCACACTAGTGCAATTCCCCCCCATATCAGCACACAACCCACTCAATTGTTCTTGGTGCTGTCTCTCATTCCTCCTCACTCTCGTCATTTTCGTTCAACATTCCAACTTACCGTAGCTTCCGTTCCTTCGTGTCCACCGTTTTCATAGTTCAACAGTTTTCTCCTACTCATACCACCAATTTATACTCCTTGTGCTGTGCCTCCCCGTCAAATGTCATATCTGCTACAGTTTGTTTAGGCTGTAGTGGGGTAGCTACTATGGGGTACAGTAAGTTTAGGGTTTCCTACTTGTACCCAACTCTTTCCTAGTTCAATCACCCTTGTTGATTCTGACATGGTATCACGAGCCTAGGTTGCCACCTAGGACCGCTTACTACTACGGGCCCACTATTCCGCTAGAAGCGCCCTCGTGCGCCCTACCTTACGTGCGCCCTCGTGCGCCTTTCTCTGCTCGTGCGCCCTTGTGCGCCTTTTTTCTGCTAGTGCGCCCTCGCGCGCCTCGCCCTTCGTTCTGCCCGCGCCCCATCCTGCAGCCCTCGCGCTGTCTCCTGCTGCCCTAGGCCAGTGCGCCACCCCTGCAGGCTAGTAAGGCCCTCGAGCCGCCCCTGCAAGCCCATCAGGCCCCCGAGCCGCCTGTGCAGGCCTGTCAGGCCCCCGAGCCGCCCGTGCAGGCCCTCACCGCCCGCGCGTAGCCTCTGCCCGACCGCGCGCCGCCCCTGCAGGCCCTCGCCGCCCGCACGCTGCCTCTTTAGGCCCAACAGGCTAGCGCGCGACCCCGTCAGGTCGCTGTCGCGGCCCTGTTAGGCCACAGTCGCGTCCTCGTCTTGTCGCTGACGTGACCCCACCCTGCAGCGGTCGCGGCCCCGCCTTGCCGCCGACGCGGACGCGGCCCCACCCTGCCATGACGCGGCCCCGCCAGCCTTGCAGCTGACGTGGCCGCGCCCTTCTGCTGACGCGGCCGCGCCCTTCTACTAACGCGGCCGCCCCCTGCTACTGACGCGGCCGCGCCCTGCTACTGACGCGGCCACGCCCAGCTGCTGACGCGTCATCGCCCCCTGCCCGCCGCGTCGCCCTGCCCGCCGCGTCGCCCTGCCCGCCGCGTCGCCCTGCCCGCCGCGTCGCCCTGCCCGCCGCGTCGGCCCTTGCCCGCCGCGTCGCCCCTGCCCGCCGCGTCGCCCTGCCCTACCCCGCGCCTGGCCCCTGGAGCAGCCGCCCCTGGAGCAGCCGCCACTGCACCAGCCGCCCCTGGCCCCTGGAGCAGCCGCCCCTGTAGCAGCTGCCGTCGCGGCCCAGTCTCGCCCTGCAGCAACTGCCGCGGAGCTCCCTGCCGTGGTCGCGGCCTCGCCCTGCCGCTGTAGCGGCCCCGCAGTCGCCTCCGTCGTTCAAAATAGTCAGGCGTCGCCCGAACGAATTGAGAAACCCTTGAGAAGCTGGCATCATCTAGCGGAAGGAGGGGCAAGAAACGGGGTCGTAAAGACCCTGGTGAGGCCGAGAAGGAGGATGCGCAGGAAGAGGAGGATGAAGAGGATGCGGAGGAGGATGACGCGGATGTTGGGGAGGATGAAAAAGATGAGAATGATGGCGGGGAGGACGAAGAGGAGGAGGAGGAGGAGGAGGAGGAGGAGGAGGAGGAGGAGGAGGAGGAGGAGGAGGAGGAGGACGATGAGGAGGAGGATGATGAGGAGGAGGAGGAGGAGGAGGAGGATGAGAAGGAGGAGGAGGAGGAGGAGGAGGAGGAGGAGGAGGATGAGGAGGAGGAGGAGGAGGAGGAGGAGGAGGAGGAGGAGGAGGAGGAGGAGGAGGAGGAGGAGGAGGAGGAAGAGCAGGGGGACGACGAGGAGGAGGATGAACAGGAGGAGGAGGAGGAGGAGGAGGAGGAGGAGGCAGAGGAGGAGGAGGAGGAAGAGGGGGAGGAGGAGGAGGACGTGGTGGCAGTGAAGGGATGGGGTGGGCGTGGGAGACGGCATAGTGGTACAGGGAAGGTGGGGGGCCGGACTCGCCATTCCCAAAAACGCGGGGCAGTTGACGCCGCGCGCGGCGTAGCAGCTGGCAGACGAAAGGCGGGTAAGGTGAAGGTCGAAAGTGAAGGGGGTGGTAAAAAGCAAGGGCGCCAGGGAGCAAAAGGGGATGGAGGACGTAAGGGTGGCGGCGCCAAAGGGGTTCCATTGGGTACTGGCAAGAAAGAATCTGCCGGTAAACGTCGCAGCGGCCGTCAAAGCACCCCGCGGAAAGGTGGCAACGAGAAGGCGCTGGCCCCAAAAAAACGAAGGGACAGCATAAAGGTGAGCACCCTGGCCAATAGACCGGGCGTGGTTGTTGCACTCTTTGCGCAACCATGCCAAATAACACCATTTGACACGTTGTTTCTCCCCTGCAGGGAAGGAGAAGGACGACGAATTTGCAAAGAAAGGTAAAGTCTCCTGTCTCAAAACAGGTCACGGCTAAGCCTGATTTAGATTCAAACCATTGATTTCATGCATGACTGTCTGGCCCTGTATTGATACCAATCGACTTTAATTTCTTGATCCTACTCCCTCTAAATCTCAGCCCCTCGCGTTACAGGCATTGGGCCACCGGTAAGCGTGCAACGGATGCAGCTAATGAAGGGGGTCGGAAGAGCAAGTGTGACGCCGCTATCCACAGGAGCCCCAAGGTTCTTCACGCCGTACTCTGGCCCAAGCAAAGTTGCTGCGACGGCTCCCGGCGCGCCAAGAGGAGAGGAATTGAATCACCTCCACCAGGCCCCGTCACGCACTCCCTACTCGCCTCACCCTCCTACCCATTTCGGCCGCTACACGCTTCTCCTGTCCGGGGCAGGGCGGTCCCCCCCCCCTCGCTGGTCCTTCATGCGGGCATCAGCCAAGCACTTCTGCCAATCCCTTCCCTGAGCTCCCTTTTTCCTGCCAGCGTGATAGTGTGAGGGCACACGGGACTGCTGAAGAAGATGCTGAAACCCTTGGCCAGAGGGGGGATTCTTCACACCCTTTTCCACCGCTCATGGGTGCCCTAGGTGAAAGTGTGGAGCACGAGCAGTTTGTTACACGGGAGGAGTTCCAGGCGCTGCGGTCTGAGATGTATGCTATGTTCGCACAGCTCGGCCTGCGTCGTGGAGTACCTGCCATTTATGCCGGGGGTTTCGCAGCCGCGTCTATGGCTGGTACCCCGCCGCCGATGAGTGCCGTGGACAAGGCACGAGTGCTAGTGTTGCAGGAGACAAACCCATTCCCGGTATGTGGCGGGCCAAATGGGGCGGGTTGGGGCTGACGTGGGGGCTTGGAAGGGTACACGGGAGCGACGCGTCACGAGGTGACTCGTGTTAGGTGGGTGGGGTGACGTGGCATGGGGTGGGTGGGTGGGTGTGATGTGGCACGTGGGGCTGGTTGTTCCCTGACGTGGCGGATGGAGGAGGGTGTGACGTGGCGGGATGGGAGGCTTGGGGCTGACGTGGCGGCTTGGAAGGTTACACGGGAGCGGCGCGTGACGAGGTGACGCGTATCAGGTGGGTAGGGGGTGACGTGGCATGGGGTGGGTGGATGTGACGTGGCAAGTGGGGCTGGTTGCTGGTGGATGTGGCGGATGGAGGAGGGTGTGACGTGGAAAGTTCACACTGTCCATCCTGTGGTCACGCGGCCAAAGTCATAACTGATGGTTTCTCTCTCCCCATGTTGTGTTGTAAACCCCACACCCCTGCGCAGAACAAGGCCTACTTAGCGTGCTCTCAGCTCCTGATTCTGAACCCCCCGAAAAAAATCCAGTACTGCCCTGCACCGGAGGAAGTGTTCGAGGCGTTCGCTGTCCACTTGTCTGCCGAAGGGCTTGAGTCAATGAAGCTGCTGTGGTTGCACAACGACAAGTTAACCATGGGTGTCTTCAACCACCAGATGTCGTCAACCAGGTCAACAATCAACAGCACCCTCAGGCCAGCAACGTATTGTCAGAACATTATAGCTGATACATGTTTGTAGGCTATAGTGGGGTAGCACATATGGGGTACAGATTCCTAGGGTTTGTTATTTGTACCAATTTCTGACTTAGTCATTTCATTCCTCTTCTCATTGTTTCACATGGTATAGAGCTAGGTCCCTCCAGGACCGATTTCTTTTTGGGCCCACCGAAGCGCGCCCCGAGGCGCGGTTTTTTTTTTAGCGACCCCTCGAGTCGCCCTCTCCCCTGCGGCCTCGCCGCCCACTCTGTCGCGGCCCCGCCCTGACCCTTACGCGGCCCCGCCGCCTGCTCCTTACGCGGCCCCGCGCCGGCCCCTTACGCGGCCCTTACGCGGCCCCGCGCCGGCTCCTAAGCGGCCCCGCGCCGGCTCCTACGCGGCCCCGTCCCCGGCTCCTACTCGGCCCCGCCACCGGCTCCATTGCGGCCCCGCCCCGGCTCCTACGCGGCCCTGTCCGCCGGCCCCTTACGCGGCCCCGCCGCCGGCCCCTTACGCGGCCCCGCGCCAGCCCCTTACGCGGCCCCGCGCCGGCCTCCTACGTGGCCCTGCCCCGGCTCCTACGCGGCCCCGCCGCCGGCTCCTACTCGGCCCCGCGCCGGCTCTCACGCAGCCCCGTCCCGGCTCCTTCACGGCCCTGTCCGCCGGCTCCTTACGCGGCCCTGCCGCCGGCCTCTGTTCGGCCCTGCGCCGACCCCTGCGCGGCCCTGCCGCCGGCTCCAACGCGGCCCTGCCCCGGCTCCTAAGCCGGCCCTACCGCCGGCCCTGCCGCCGGCTCCAACGCGGCCCTGCCCCGGCTCCTACGCGGCCCTACCGCCGGCCCCTTCGCAGCCCCGCCCCGGTTCTCTCACGCGACCCCGCCGCCTCACCTGCAGCAGTCGGGCGGCCGGGCAGCCGAGCCGCCCAGTCGCCGAGCCGCCCGGGAGCCGAGTCGCCCTGCACCCGAGCCGTCCGTCGCCGAGCCGCCCGGGAGCCGAGCCGCCCTGCACCCGAGCCGCCCTGCCGCCGAGCCGCCCGGGAGCTGAGCAGCTGTACACCCGAGCCGCCCGGTCGCCGCTCTGCTTCTCTGTCGAGCTGCACGGCCTGCCCTGCCTGGTGAGCACAGTCCCTCTGTCACTGCGCCCTCTTTCCCTACTGCTTGCACTGCTTCGCTGTCGTCATCATGGCCACCCCTAGTGTCCTAGCCTTTGACGCCGAGGGTCGCGCCATTGATTTTGAGGTCTGGCTAGATGACCTGCAGCTTTTCTTACAGTGCGTTAGAGCTGACAGCCTTTCCCTCTTTGACCTCACCTCTGGCGCCTCTCCTGCTCCTGCTGCCGATGCTGATCCCACTGTCCGCTCTCAGTGGGCCACCCGCGATGCTGCTGCACGTCTTGCTGTGCGTCGCCACCTCCCTACCTCTGAGCGTGCGCATTTTAGTCAGTACAAGAGTGCTCAGACCTTGTACGACGCTGTAGTTGCACGCTACTCCTCTCCTGCCACTGCTGCACTGAGCCGTCTCATGCTTCCCTACCTCTTTCCTGACCTCTCTGCCTTTCCCACTGTCGCTGACCTCATTACGCACCTCCGCACTAGTGACACTCGCTACCGCGCCGCCCTTCCTGCTGAGTTCTGCGCTAAGAACCCCCCCCCCATGTACATCACTCTCTACTACGTAGTCGCACGCCTCCCTGACTCCCTCCGCGTAGTCAGGGACCACTTTCTCGCAGTCTGTCCCACCACTCTCACCGTCGACCTCCTCGAGAAGGCCCTCCTCGCAGCGGAGAAGAGCATAGTCGCTGTCGGTGCCTCTCGTGGTGACCCTCGCACCCCCATCTTTGAGGGGTGCTCTCCTTCCCCCTTGCTGCCCTCTGTTGCCTCTGCTGGTGCGGCCGACCTGCTTGGTCTTGAGTCGGTCGGCGCGGCGTCTGCCCCTAGTGGGAGACGTCGCTCTGGCAAGGGCAAGGGGGGCAAGGGCGCGGGCGGAGCTGGAGGGGGCGGTGGCGGTGGCGGCGGAGGCGGCGGAGGGAGTGGGGGTGGCGGCGGGAGTAGTGGTAGTGGTGGTGGTGGTGGTGGCAGCAGCGGCGGAGACGGTGGTGGTGGTGGCACCGGTGGTGGTGGAGGCAGCAGCGGGAGTGGAGGCGGTGGAGGTGGAGGCGGTGGAGGTGGAGGCGGTGGAGGCGGCGGCGGAGGAGGCGGTGGTGGTGGAGGAGGTGGAGCTGGTCGTGGTGGTACCCAGCAGCGGAGCGGCGGTGGTGGTGGCCAGCGCTCGCAGCGGCAGCAGCAGCAGCGTTTGCGGGACATCCCTCCGCCTCAGCAGCTTCGTGAGTGGTACACTGCGCGTCAGAGGGGTGGGGGTACTGGTCCCTGCGCCTACGTTCTTCGTTCCGGTGACCGCGCGGGTGAGCAGTGTGGGGGTGCCCACTCCACCCAGCGCTGCTTTGGCCGCCTGACGGACGCTTGGCGTCAGCAGTTCCCCGGGGCTAGTGAGATCCCTCGCTGGGATGAGCTCCTTAGGGCTGGTGTAGCGATCTTTGATCTTGATTTTGATGCTATCCTTTCTGCTATGTATGCTGTGACTTATAGTGAGGAGAATGAGGGTTACCGGTGTTTCCAGCCCGACCCGGGCATTGGTACTGCTGCACTAGGTACTTGTGAGGCTGCTGCTCTAGGTGCCAGTGCGTCTGCGCTCTCAGGTACTAGTGAGACTGCGCTCTCAGGTGCTGGTGAGACTGCGCTCTCAGGTACTGCGTCGCCCTCGTCCTCCCTCACTTTCACACTTGACTCTAGGGCTTCTCGCTCCTTCTTTCGAGACCGCACTACCCTCACGCCACTTGGCCGACCGGTTGCAGTCTCCCTTGCTGACCCCTCTGGGGGTCCTGTCCTGTCTCACTTCTCCACTGTCCTCCCGTGTCCGGCTGCCCCTTCGGGCACCCTGTCCGGTCTGTACCTTCCCTCGTTCTCTACGAACTTGGTGAGTGGTGCGGACCTACAGGATGCGGGGGTTCACAAGTTCACTCCTGCGAGGCGGCGGGTGACCCGCTGCACGGACGCAGACACAGGCCGACACCTGGCCACCTTTTCGCGTCGGCCGGGGTCGAGTCTCTACACCCTGACCACTGAGTCTCCTCCTGTCCCTGTGTCTGGTCAGGTAGCTGCATCAGGTCAGGTGTTTGCTGCTGCGTCCCGGTCAGGTCCTGAGTCTGCCCCCTGTTCCTGTCGCCTCCTGTCTCACGAGACTCTCCTGTGGCACCACCGTCTAGGCCACCCCTCCTTGGCTCGTCTTCGGAGCATGGCCTCCCGTGTCCTTGTCTCTGGTGTTCCCCGGTCTCTCCCTCCTCCCCCCCCCCGGGCCAGGGCCTTCCTTTGTCCCCTGTGTCGAGGGTCGCCTCCGGGCTACTCCTCACTCCTCCCACTTCCCCCCGACAGAGGCTCCGCTGCAGACGCTTCACATGGATGTGTGGGGCCCGGCCCCCGTCCGTGGGCAGGGTTACGAGCGCTACTTCCTGTTGGTGGTTGACGACTACTCGCGTTACACCACAGTCCTCCCTTTGCGCAGCAAGGGTGCTGTCACTGAGGTGCTGATCGACTGGATCCGCGAGGCTCGTCTCCAGCTCAGGAAGAGCTTCGGCTCTGACTTTCCTGTTCTGCGTCTGCACTCGGACAGAGGCGGAGAGTTCTCCTCTCGCCTTCTGCGAGACTACTGTCGTGCACGGGGGATCCGCCAGACCTTCACGCTTCCGGACTCACCACAGCAAAATGGGATTGCTGAGCGCCGCATTGGCATGGTCATGGATGTCGCTCGTACGTCCATGATGCATGCGGCTGCCCCCCATTTTCTGTGGCCGTTTGCGGTGAGGTACGCGGCGCATCAGCTCAACCTTCACCCGCGGGTCTCTAGGCCTGCGATGTCCCCAGCCTTGCTGTGGACGGGGAAGGTTGGCGATGCGTCTGTGTTTCGTGTCTGGGGATCTCGGGCGTTTGTCCGCGACTTGTCTGCGGACAAGCTGTCCCCTCGTGCTGCTCCCTGTGTCTTCCTTGGCTTCCCCACTGACGCCCCAGGGTGGCAGTTCTACCACCCCTCCTCTCGTCGTGTTCTGTCCTCCCAGGACGTCGCGTTCGACGAGTCGGTCCCCTTCTACCGTCTCTTCCCCTACCGCACTCCTTCCCTCCCCCCTCCCCCGGACTTCCTTGTGCCGGTTCCCCCCCCGGTAGACCCCCTTCCCCCTCAGGTTCCTGCTCCCTCAGGTGTGTCCCAGGTAGACGCCGTTGACCCGGTCGAGGTTACTGGTGACTCTGGTGCTGCTGCGGGTGCTGAGCCTGGGGGTGCTGACTCTGGGGGTGC